ATAATTGAAGGTGTTTCAATAAATTGTAGAATTTCTGTAATTTCTTAAATCATGATTGATATAAACTATCGTTAATAAATCGTACGTAAAATTTAAAAAGAGCTCCCCCTCCCCAAGTAAACTTATTGCAAGGAAATACATATGCAAGATAACCTACCGTTAACAATGATTAATGACTACAATCAACTCCTAAATCATAACATATAATCAAATTATAGAAAACGGAAACACGTGTCCCAGAAATTCAAAGGAAACGATTACATTAGATTAATCTTTCTTACGTTATATGCATCGTATATGTACATACAAGCGAAGTAAAGATTCAGTTTGTACACATGTTTCGAAGTCTTTGATACTTAAAATAATCGCATCAACTGAAAGAAATAGGTAATTATGACTGTCCCTTTTATTATAGTATAAAAAGTACATTTGATTCGTATGGAAAAACACGTAGAACAACGGACACGGTTCTGACACATTATTCTATAACCTTCCTCCTACATTTCAAGGTCTGCATTTATTTTAAACACACGTTCCGATACCATTAATATTCAAGTACGTAATTCTCTTAAGTCACTATGCTCCTTATATGTAGCTTATGAAAAGCGATTTGACGTTATTCAAAGGCAGGAAGGATATTTGCATTAATTATAAAATGAAAATAATGTAATTCAATCGTTTTACGCCCTGACAGAAATGAATATCTAATATTCTGATCGTAAATATATTGTATTGCAGAAATGTCTCAACACCGAATATCTGATGTCATTGGTATTTTGAGAGGAGCTAAGACAGTAGCTGATGCTCTCATCAAGCATCAAGAAGAAACGATTAAGCATGCTGTACAGACCTCAAGTTTAAAAACTAACGTTGAGAAATGTGCAACAGACTGTTTTAAGACACTGAGTAATGTAAAACCAAGTAAGGTTCCTGTAAGTTTCAAAACAAGCTGAAAATCTTTCATAAATGTCTGTGGTATAAAATGAGTCTGTTCGGAAGTAACAAACATTGCTGCTATTCATACCCTACATTTTTACTAACATAATTAATGTCGTGAATGAAAATAGTAATTTTCTGTATAGCATAATGTATACACAGGTTCAAGTGGCAAAAGAATTGAGAGAAGTGGCTGAGAGGATAAATGTTGTTGAGAAAGGTATAATTGAATTTGCGAAATTAAGAACCGCGGAGATCACTGGAATGCCATTAGATCTGAGTGAACCTGTAAAAACTGGCAAGACCAAGTTACACGTTTATAATCCTGCCAAAGATCCAAAAGAAGTGGTAGTAGAAATGGATGTAACAAGCGGGAAACCCAATCTTGACATTAAAGAGAAACAAGAGAAACCTTTAAAGAAGTATACAACTGTGAAAGAAAAGATTGAGACGATATCGCTGGATAATGAGATACCTAAGATTGAATTGTCTGAGAGGGAGAAGGAAATTTTAAGAAGATTAGAATTAGAACATGAAAAGACCATGAAGAGTCAGAGGGTAAAAGAACACGTTCCGAAACCGGACTCTGGAACAATGGCACATAAAGTGACGGAAGATGCGAAAGTAATTTCGAACAGCTCGTCACCTCAAGTTAAACCAAAACCATCTGCTAGGCCGAAACAAACTGTAAGTCTCTTAAACGTTTTATATAGATTACACAGACAGATATACTGATAACATAATCATTATTTCAAAGCTTGCACCGAATGCAAAGGCGCAGAAAGTTCCAGCTACCAGATTAGAAAGGATGGTAAGCTTTGGAACATTAGGAATCGGTCTTGGTGTTGGTACAGTCGCAGAATATACCCGTAGAACGCTTGGTTTAAAGAAACAAAGTCTTGGAGATACATTCGACAGCTTATTTCTCACTAAAGCAAATGCGGAAAGAATAGTTTCGACTTTATGTAAAGTGAGAGGTAAGCAGTTCAACAGTTTATACAGATTTTCTTTGAAGTGATCGATGCACACTTTCCCAATAGGCGCAGCTTTGAAAATTGGACAGATTTTAAGTATACAAGATGAGACTATTATAAGTCCAGAATTACAAAGAATATTTGAACGAGTTAGACAGAGCGCTGATTTTATGCCGAAGTGGCAAGTTGAGAAAGTGTTAGCTAACGAACTTGGCCATGATTGGAGAAATAAATTAGCTACCTTTGAAGAGAGACCGTTCGCTGCAGCTTCCATTGGTAATTTAAATTCTCAATTACACAATCCAACAAAAAAACTTTTTAGATTTTTTGCAATATCCACTATGTGCTTTGAAAATATATGATTTTCTGGAAAAATTAGGTCGTTTTTAGCATGAAAAACTCTATAAAAATCGCGTAGTGGATGTGGTAAAAACAGAATTTTGTGTCGTACAATGTAGCCGAATAAAGCAAGTTCTTAAAAACTGTTCTTTACATACTTGAAACACATTACACACAGGCCAAGTACATCACGGTACTTTGTTAAATGGGCAAGACGTTGCAATTAAAATTCAATACCCTGGTGTAGCTTTAGGCATACAGAGTGATGTTGAAAACCTAGTAGGCGTGATGAAGGTATAAATCAGCTTGTTTTTAACATACTTGACAGTTTCTAAATATACACGTACGTAAACTTTTATAGGTTTGGAATATTTTTCCGAAAGGTATGTTCATAGATAACTTAGTAGACGTTGCAAAACGAGAACTTGCATGGGAAGTGGACTACGTCAGAGAAGCCGAATGTACAAGGAAATACAAACAATTTATGGAACCTTATACGGATTACTACGTTCCTGCAGTAATAGGTGAATTAATCAATTACCAAATCTGCGAAGAATAGCAATAACTTTATTTCACACTTTCAGATGACCTATCGACAAGTCAAATTTTTACAACCGAGATGATAGAAGGAATTCCTGTAGATAAATGCACAGATATGGATTTGGAAACAAGGGAGCACATTTGCAAATTAATAATGAGCTTATGCCTTAAAGAATTGTTTGTTTTTCGATATATGCAAACTGATCCAAACTGGTCGAACTTTTTCTACAACACTAATACAAAACAAGTTCGTATACGAGATATTAATGCCAATAGTTTACTAAAATTCTAACAAGTGAAGACCGGGACATGTACTTTGATGTGTCTTATATGACACCTCCTCTTGTAAGTACTAATAATTGTATTTTATAATTATTTTTAGCTAGTATTACTAGATTTTGGTGCGTGTAGAGAGTATGATAAACAATTCATGGACAAGTACATCGAAGTAATTTATGCTGCGAGCGAAGGCGATCGGAATAAAATCCTCGATCTGTCTAGAGAAATGGGATTTCTTACAGGATACGAATCAAAAGTATGATGCATACTTGTTACTATCATTAGATTCACGAAAATGTAAAAGGGACTGTTTCAACCATTGGATTAATTTCAGATCATGGAAGAAGCTCACGTAGACGCAGTAATGGTATTAGGCCAAGTATTTGATAAGAATCATAAGTATTACGACTTCGGTGGACAAGACGTTACCAGACGGTAAAAATATTTTATTTCGATGTCATTGAAAGTAAATAAACTGATGTGTATAATATCGATTTCAGTATTCAAACATTAGTCCCGACAATACTGGATCACAGGCTGTGCCCTCCACCCGAAGAAATATACAGCCTGCATAGAAAACTATCAGGTGTTTTCTTACTCTGCGCCAAGCTTCAAGTTAAAATAAACTGCCGCGACATGTTTCGCGAAGTATACACGAATTATAAATTCGGTTAAAAATGTTATCATGTAACACTTATGCTTTATATTTTAAATATGTATAGATAATTGTATAAATATACAATTTTTCTCTCGTATTATATTTTCCACTTACGACTTGTAATACAAATAATAATCAGTTATTCATGAGTCACTTTACACTCGAAAGGGCTTTCATCTAGCTAAGAACAATGTAAACAATTACTGCAACAGTACATGGTATGACATGTCAAGTACAGAATACAGAGAAATATTTGAAAGTAAATGAAGTGGAGGAAAAGGATAAGTATGTTGAGTAAAATTACCCGAAAAAAGGTGATCACTTTATGATTCGTCTCAAAGTTCTATCGATGCAAAGGAATAATAAAAAAAACTGTACCAGTTGACGAATTTAACTGGTATGCAGGGATCTCATAATTTATCCCGTACGGCTCGCTTCCTCTCTTTTTCGCCCGTATTTCGATCCCCACTACCATTCTCCTCATGCGCCTTCGCTGACCATGCTTAACATACCTCCAAGTACCAGTCCCCACCATGGTCGCGTCGCCACCACTTTCCAGCCGAGAGATAAATTATGAGAACCCTGCTGGTATGCCGATTACAAGTCCGGGAAATGTCGGCTATCTTTACACCCGACTTTAATCAACAGTAAACCTACCTCTACCTACGCACGTGGACTCTGATGCCAATGTATCTGTCATTTAAGTCGTTCCTAGTAATCTAATAACCACGTTACCAGATGGTATAACAGCTCAGTCTGCAAAGTATAACGGACCCTGATGCCAATGTAGCAGCTTTCTCAAGGAGACGGTAGGAATAGGTATGGTTTTTAAGATTAAAGGCCGAGGTTTCCTTCATTCATTTTTACTTCTGAACGGTAGGCGCAGATTGACTGGACGATTTCGAATCTCGCATAGAAGCGCTGCGTCTTCGTTTCAGTTCCTCTTGGCGCCTGTTCTTCGCTTCCTTTTGCCTTTGCGCCAACAACTTAGCATAGTCTGCTGCTTGTTGTTTGCGAGCCAACGTGTGTCTCCGCTTCAAAGCCAGCCTGTGGCGTTTCCTCTGTAAAAATCATTATCCCGTCATATACACCACCCAGCTTCTGCGGAATTGAAGAAAACATGGATGAAAGAGTAATGAGTGGCTTACCTGCAGAGTAAGAGGAGTAATGAGACGTTGAATTTTTGGTGCTTTGTGACGCACGGGTTTTCCTTCTTTTTGTACCGGGCGCTTCACGACGAAACGACGAACATCATCTTGCTTGGTCAAGTTAAAGAGCTTGCGAATTTTACTTGCTCTTTTAGGACCAAGTCGGCGTGGAACTTCCGTGTCGGTCAAACCTGGAATATGCTGCAAAACAAATTATTAGCATCGATTGTTATACATTGAGGAGTTTGTCAACTAGTTAGTCAATCAGTGTATCGTTTGTACACTGAGAAGAAGTATACAGAATACGATTTCTCAAATCAAAAAACGATCAATTTGATCTCCCATGTTTACGATAGTATCATAAGAAGACAGAATAACTCTTTGATACACCCTAAAACCATGGGTTATTAACAGAAGATTGTTTTACTGAATGAAATTAAATACCTGTTCTCCTTTTTTGACGATGACCAGGGCAAGTACTGAAAGATTAGAATCGACAATGCATCCACGAACAGATTTACGCTTACGCTCGCCGTCACGTCTCGGTCTGTAGCACGAATGCCCCTTCGACAGCAATAAACGTACGCGTCCTATGGACAGGATAAAGCATTGAAAATTAATTAAATGTTCCATAACAACGCTTGATTACAATCGAATTCTTACCATTCGTCAGTACACCCTGTTTCATGGGAAATCCTTGTTTATCGTTGCCACCAGAAATGCGGACGACGTATCCCTTCCATTCGTTACCTAGAGCATCGGCTTCCACCTCGGCGCCCATGCGTTTCTCATAAAATATCCTCAGCTTGTGTTCATCGGAGATTTCGAACAGCTTTTGGCATCCCGTTGCAGGATATGAAACGTTCAACTGAACCGATAACAGAGCAAATGGGTTAGGTTTCTCGGCGGTCCGTGATAATAAGCAATTCGCGTTACACCGATTGTATAATATACGTGTACCGATATTTAGAAAGATTCATTGCGCACGATTCATTAACGATCGTACGTGATATCGTCGAGATTCTCATGATATTTTCGGATACGTACCTTCATCCTGACAAATATCGAGTCGTATGCGTCCTTATGGTATACGTCTCACCGTGTCAGTGCCTTGAACGGAATGGGAAATGGGGGAAATGGGAATGGAACGTGGTCAACGTGGAATTAAATGGGACTGTAGTAGAGAGCACACAAGTGCTGCCAACGGCTTCTCATAGGGTTGTTATTTTTAAGATCGCCTTGAACAGTAGAAAAAGATAAAGAAAGGTCTTTCTTTCTATTCAGGATACAATTTCCGGGCAACCTTCCCTACTCTATCTATAATAACTCCATGAGTTCATTCATCACTTTATTCGAATCATTTTTCGCTATAGGTCCATGACTTTAACACACTGTAGCGTTCGATATACTTCCGATTATTTACGTTTTGCCGTTGTGCTTTCGTAATGGCAGTGACAGTAACAACTTGTAGAAGGTCTCTTGAGATCATAAAGGATATTTATTTAATCAGATTATTATTCATGCCTCGTCATCTTCAAATATTAGAAATACTCCGCACTGATAACGAACGGTAGATATCTGAACCTGTTTCATCGATTCCGACAAAATCAAATTATTCAGCGCACTTCTTTTGTAAACCGATCCAGAAGATGTCGAATAAATTCTTATATTTTGCGTACGGCAGTAATATGTTGACGAAAAGAATACACATTAACAATCCGACTGCAGTACGGAAGGACATAGGTTTCTTAAAGGTGAATATGATCAAACAAATTTTATCATCAAATCTTTTTCACTTTCACGTTAGCCAATTAAGTATTAGTTTTCGTACGTTGCATCAGGATTACAGGCTTGACTTTTTAAAATATTCAAAACGATGGGGTGGATGCTCAGCAACAATTGTCCCAACAGAGAATTATGTCGTCTGGGGAGCAGTTTGGGAATTGGACGAATGCAATATGTACACACTAGATCAACAAGAAGGAGTAGCGGATAAATTATATTTCCCTTTGATGGTCGATATAGAAACGCCCGTTGGCAAGATATTAAACTGCAGAGTGTACCAGCAATGCAAAAATCCAGATGAGCATGTTAAGTTAAGCTTACTGCCACAATGCAGAAGACCTTCGCCACTATATTTGTTAGTTACATTTCATTTCATAATTTCAACAATTTTTTTTGAGTTTATATAATTGTCCATTGTTCCCTGTCAGGGAAACGATACTGAAAGGTGCATATGAAAGTCAGTTACCTGAAGATTATATTAAATTGTTGGAAACCATACCGCATAATGATTACGCAGGAGAGTATGATATTTGGTAAGGTCTTTAATATTTATCTTTATTCCTAGATAAAAAGATCTTCACATGTGTGCAATCTTTTTCTCTGAGAGTGTATACATTAACTGTATTCTTTAAGTATTACAGAAAATGTTTATTTACACAATAAGTATCTTTATGTACAAATACAATTGAAGATTACGTGATGATCTAGTATTTACAATGTTCATTTGAGTTTTATTTGTCTTACCTAATGTAGTATTATGTCGCGATGCTCTTTGAAAGTTTCTCTGTTGAAATGAATATTTTTGAATCGCAGCCTTCCCTTGAAAGAAGTTTAGACTCGATGATCTTACGATTCTTTAAACGTTTCTGGACGTCTCGCGAATTCTCCGTCAAGTCAAGAGCCGCCTCGAGTGACAATTTGTCCAATTCATATTTGGGCACTTTGATTTTTGTCACTAACGCACTATTTACCTATATTAGTATACAATGTAATTAATAAATTGCTCATAAGACGCATAATTACGCTTGTACAAATTTGTATAGAATATTAATAAAGTAATGAATACTTTAGACTTACCCTGACCTCCAACGTCATGTTGTAATTCTTATCGATTTCTGGCCATTTTTGTTCCATGACATCTGTGTCTAAATCTACCTCGTCTTCACTTATCAGATGATGTTTCGCCGCACAAAAGGCACTCCATAATTCGGAAGCGAAGTGCGGTGCGAACGGTGCGAGCATTATAATCTGAACTGCTAACGCGCGTTCATATTCACGGCTCTTATTCATACACTCCGTGCTCACTTTGCGCAAACTGTTCGTAAGCCCTTGCATTCTCGATATTGCAACACTCAACTGTTGAGATTCGATTATATTAAACGTCGCCGTCTTCAAGAAATAATTTCGACTGTCGAACATGTAGTCATCGTCTTTCGTAAATTTTGGATCGGTAGGTTCTGCATGAAGTTCCTCCAAATTCACGCTATTGCGATAATCCGTAAAACTTTTCACCGTCCTCCACAAACGTTCTTGCCAATTTAATATTCCCGGCATAGTCTCCTTACTCCAATATTTATCCGAGGTCGGCGCGTGGTCGGCTAATATGAAAAGCCTGGTTGTATCGATTCCGTATTCGTTTAATACTTCGACAGGGTCGACTCCATTGTGTTTCGATTTAGACATTTTCTCCCATGACGCGATTACCGGTTCCTTGCTAATTTTCTCTATGTACTTTCTGTCCTTCTCCTCCACTTCATCTGCTCTCAGATATTTCCCTGTACTCTGTACTTGATACGTCATACCACATACCATACCCTGTACTAGCAATTGCTTAAATGGTTCTTGGCTGGGTAAGAGCCCTTCCGAGTGTAAAAAGTGGCTCATGAATCTCGCATAATACAGATGTAGCATTGCTGAAATAATACCATTAATTCTAGATTTCTCGAATTCTAAATTCACATTTTCTATCTAAAAAGAATTCATACAATGGATATATACCATGTTCTTTTCCACCTACGTAAAGATCAACGGGAAACGTCGTTTTTGCTTTGTCAACGGAGAACATTTCCTCCTTATTTTTCGGATCGATGTATCTTAGATAGTACCACGAGCTATCTACGAATGTGTCCATTGTATCGGATTCTCTGATCGCTTGGCCTCCACACTTCGGACACGAAGTATTTAACCAATCCTTTGCCATGCTTAATGTACACTTTTTACTCACAGACGAGAAACTTAAATCTGGTAGAGCCACAGGAAGCTGGTCACGTGGAACTGGTTGAATACCGCAATTCGAGCAGTGAACAATCGGAATCGGCGTACCCCAATACCTTTGTCTAGATATTAACCAATCTTGCAGTCTTGAACTAACAGCATATCCACCGATCTTCCATTTTCTTGCTTTAGATAATACTTCTGTAAGTTTAAGTTGTTGTTCTTCGTAATTCCTTAAGGAGTGCCTTTGATATTCGATCCCGACTCTTTCAGAGAATTGATAATCGTCCATCGAGGCGGCAGGTATACCAAGATAAGTATCTCGAAATTCTTCAAATGGTAGTTTGTCTGTTACGAATATTGGCAGTTCGTTTCCGTTAAACGGATTCAATACTTTGGCATCAATCACTTTGATCCCTTCTGCCACATCTTGGCAGTATTCTGATCTGTTCAATAAACTATTTGGAGATATTGCAACGAACTTCGCATGCTCAATAAATTCCGGGCAATTGGTCCAAACATTTAGTGTTTTCGGATAGTTCGGGATGTTTCCTATCAATTGTAATTCAAAGCTCGTCCCATTACATTTGCGTATCCAATTTTGTTGTATTTTCTTGACATCTTTCCATTCCTTCAGTGTCGGATCATCTAAACCTTCGAGTAATGTCCTGACATAAAAGAAATTAATAAGAAAGGCTTATATTTGTTCTTATAATCAGAAGTGCAACGATATTTACTTAGCAAATGCTGTGGTTCTAATGAACCACTGATTCAATAGTTTCTTCTGTACTTTAGCACCTGATCTCCAAGAATAATTGTTCTCATCAACCTGTTCCTCTGCCAGCACAGTTTCATCGATAGGATCCCAATTAACAAATGATTCTTTTCTGTAAACTAAACCATTTTCAAATAACATCAAAAATAATTCTTGTGTCCATTTATAATACTCAGGATCGCATGTAGCAAATTCCCTGTCCCAATCAAAGGACAAATTCATCGCATTCAACTGTTCTTTCATGTTCTTGATGTTATTATATGTCCAGGTGGCTGGGCTGATGGATTTTTCAATTGCAGCATTCTCTGCTGGTAAGCCAAAGGCATCCCAGCCCATTGGATGCAAAACATTGTATCCTAAAATAATGTCGAATCTCTAAGATACCAACTGGCTTTTTTTAATTTTCAAGTTTACTTCATAAAATTTACCTTTCATCCTATAAAAACGAGCAACAGTGTCGCTTATAGTATAAACTCTTACATGTCCCATGTGAAGTATTCCAGAAGGATAAGGAAACATTGATAAAACATAAAACTTCTGTTTTCCATTATCTGTATCATTATATTTATGCAAATTAATTTTATCTCTCCAGTATTCTTCTATATCCTTCTTTATCTCATTTGTAACAGACCCACTCTATAAAAATTAAAAAATAAATGTAATACGTTATTGTAAAAATAGGTAACATTTGTTTATAAAATAAAGTCCGTACGGAGAATTTGCTTATGCCGGTCGAAGCATACCGAGTAATAACGCTCTTGAAGAACGTATTATTCTTACAATATGGCAAATGTTTTTTAGAGAACAAAAGTGTAATCTTCATGCTTAAGTTTTATTATTTAAATATTTAAATACAGACAAACGAAACCTACAATACTCAATTTGTATACACCATGCAAGTTGCCATATTTATTAACAACTGTAAAGAATCACCATTCTGAATTTAAATTATTCAGACGAAATGCTTTTTAATACAGAATGATCTTGATTACTAAATTACATTTAAGGAATAAGATTTTTTTAGAGGAAATATGAAACTTTATTGCATTACATTGGATATACAGTATCGCCGGAAACTGGGGCCCATGTTAAAAAACTGGCACCACGCCACCGCTGTAGTTCTGTACTTCCGGCTAATCGTCGGTACCGTCGGTGCCCGTCCTTTTTCTCGTGTGCGCTGCATAAACAGCTTCGTGAGTAATGTTTTAATTTTCAAATCCGTTGATGTACTGGACATCCTGAGTTAATGCCGTGCAATGTAATAGGAAAATATTATTGTGGTTGCTTTAAATTATGATTAAACAACATATATCCGATTTTCTATCGTGATAAGTAAAAACTTTTTTGATTCTCAGGAGGTTAAATTTCTCGAATTAGTAATAGTAGTAGTAGTAATCGTTTATTTTATACTTTCCAGCGTTGAAACATGTGATTTGATTATAATATACATATATCTATTCTATGTACTATATATGATAATTGTCTCTGTATAATATTATACTACTTGATGTTTATAGTTGTCATACGTTAATATCTCAGCTTTCTGCTTTTGTATTCTATCTGTAATTGTGTTGTTCGTAAACTACCAGTTTAGTTTGTATTCTTTGAAATTTGTTTAATTTCAACCTTGCATTAATAATCACAAAGTTCCTCATTATATTCTAGTAACACAATGGGCAAGAGAAATAATATGATCCCTAATGGGCACTTCCACAAAGATTGGCAAAGATTTGTCAAAACCTGGTTCAATCAGCCAGCCAGAAAGTACCGGCGCAAGCAATGTCGTGTGAAGAAAGCTCGTTCAGTAGCTCCAAGGTAATTAATATAAATTTATTTGATTTCTGTTTTATTTTCATTTTTCAATACTTGATTTAAATTTAAAGACCTGTCAAGCTGTTGAGACCTATTGTCCACTGCCCAACATTTCGGTATCACACGAAAGTTAGAGCTGGTAAAGGTTT